ACTTTTCTATTCCTCTTCCTACTTCCCCGTTCGCTTTCGGCGCCCGGAGGCAGGAAGGCGTATGGATATTCCCGCCCCCCCAGTCTTCTTGCACGGTCCCCGCTCGCCTTGGGCGCGCCTCCCTCCCGCCCGTGGCAGCGCGGGCCCTCGCAGAGGTGCCAGGTCAGAAAACACCGGCCCAGCTCCTGCCCCTCCCCCGCCCCCGGGCGCGGTGCTGAGACTTGAAAATTGCGCTGGGTCAGAGGATTTCTCCGCTTCCCCCCGCCCCCCCGCGCGCACACGCCCCGCGGATCCGTCCCCTCGGCTGCGTGCCAGCAGCGCGTGCGTTTCACTTCGCACCCTCCTCTCCGCCACGAACGAGTTAAGTGAACCACGTAGGAGGGACCTAGGGCAGAGTTGGGGTGCAGAAGTGCTGCAGGAAGGATCTCTGTGTCCACGGCTGAAAGCTTGTGGTCTTAAAGTGAAATGCAAAAACTTCGCATTTCCAGCCTGTTCACTGCTGCGTTGTGATTCAAGGTACTTTCTGTGTAACGGAGGAGTACAATAGTTTAAGTAGACTTTCTTCTAAGAAGCCTTTGGACCTGGGGGGGAGGGGGATGCGGCTTGTCTTTTTTCCGGTTTTTCTCCTCTTTTCCTTTTCTTTTTTTCTCTCTGTCTCTTTTTTTTAATTCATCTCTCTCAGTCCTTTTCTCAGCTCCAGTGCCTTAACTTCTCTGTGAAGTTTTATTTCCTGGTAGACAGAAAATTCAGTTTAATCATTGAAGTTGTGATATTGCTGGGAACTTGCTGAAGTTTTGGACTTATTTCTTCCAGTTTACATGATTGCTACTGGACTATTGGCTTGTTTGTTTTTTAATAAACTTTTTTTAACATGGTGTGGGAATGTGTACAAAGATTTTATTTATCATGTAGCTGAGCCCGTGCTTTTAAAATATAAGTATTTTAAAAGCTTTTCAGTGGAAGAAAACTTGCAAAGACTGAGTTTCACTTTCAAGGAAATAACTGTCCTGACTCAATTCATTTAGAAAATGTAAGTTAGTACTGTACAGGTGCGTATGCATTGTCAGTCTTTGACAGTCATGGACATAATATACAGAGGATACATCATTTCCATCTGTTTTTTAAATAATTAAACTTGTATTTATTATGTATTTGACTACATCAAACAATTACCCTTTGTGGCTGCATTTTCTTAACTTCACCATGCCCATATTTTATAACTATATAAAAGTGGGTGTGGCAAAAAAAAAGCAGGAGACAATTGGATATCAGTAGACATTGGATATGCAGGTAACTTATTTTACCTGATATTTGATTTCCTCCTTATTTGACTGTATAAACTAAGTGATTTTTTTTCTAAACAGAACCTGGAAGAACTGATTGCATTTTTCACCTTGTTTAACTGATGCTTACTTGCCCTTAAACAGAGTTACTTTTTGAGGAAATAACCGTGAATTTCTGGCTCTAAGCATCTGTATTACCATTAGAGAGACTAATGCAAGTTGAAATTACCCGCTTATGACCATAGATTGCTACACTTTATCATGAAACCTAATCAATACAGTTTTTATTAATTTGTTTCTATTAAGCCTGTTGGGCTATCTTGGCTTTCAGAAAGACATTTCAAATAAACTACAGTTGTCTTCTTAAAGACTGTAAGTTGCATTGAAGACTTCCGAGAAGTACAAGCTCTCTTGTAAGTGTAAATCGACCAAAGTTTGAAGGAACTTCTGACTTATATATATATATTTTATTATTATTATTTTTTTTGGTAACTTGGAGCAGTGTGCACGTGTGCCTGAATGTGGCTGGTATTGCATTGAAAATGTACTGTGATGGCATTTTTAAGGTGGAGCATACACCTACTAAATATTAAAGTTACACTATGCCCTATCTTCTTTGGTTGGGGTTTTTTTTTCTATTTTTTTTTCCTTTTTTTTCTATTGTTTTTCTTTAGGATTGGGACTTATACTGTTCTATCTGAAATACAAAGCTAGGAGGAAATCTTATTTCTGAACAAATAGTTTTGATATCCTTAATTAACTGTATGGCGATGTGTCAGAACATGTAGTTATATACAGCTTAAAGTGCATGCATACTCCCTGCCTACACACATTCTAGGAAAGGTGTATGTTTTATCCATTTTGGATGTCCTAAGGCTATTCTAACAGGTGTATCAATTTTTTGGTAGTGTTTTGTGTGTCTCTGTGCATAGTTTAAATTTATATGGAAAGAATAGTGTTGAAGCACTTGCTCTTATAGCAATTTACTATTCTTTGCTATCTGCTTGGGGAAGCATTAAAGTATATATTAAAAGGAACTGGGGAACTTTTAACATTATACTTCATGTGTATGCTGCAGGTATTTGCTTTCTTAGATGTAGTCTTCCCCTTCCCTCCCCTCCCCCCCTCACTAGTTACTAATCATTCTAGTAACTTACATTCATTACTCATTTCGTCACAGACTGTCAAAGGTAGAGTGCATCTAAGATTTATTTTTGGGTGTATTTGGAAACCATAGAGAGTGAAGTTTAGGTGTATTGTGTCCTAGTTAAAATGGGTTTTTATAGTACAATTTTAGAAATAGAAAATAGCTTATTTTGGACAGAATAATAAATATACTTTGCAAATATTCTGTATGCATATCACTGCAACTTCTAAATACCTAATATATAGCACTAGACTCCTCATCAGAACGTTCTGTCTTACAAGCAGTACATTTTAGAATATTTTATTTGAACAAACCATATAATTTTATGTTATTGTAGATTGTCTTATTATGTTTCTGTGATTCTTCGAGAAATGCTGTAGTTTAGAGTAAAGTTACCTATTTTTCTTGACTGAAATAGTAATGTATTTTACATTAGAAATATCACCCACACATATTGAAGGAATGGCAAGAGAGAAACTGATTGCCTTTTTGTATTTTATCTTTACTTCAGTCAACAAACCAACATTATTTATTTATTGCTCTGACCTATTGACACTAGCTCTATAGGTTTGCGGGGTATCTGCTGTCTTAATACATATTGTAGATACCGTAGATCTACTTGGGTTTAAAAAGGAAGCCATCATGGGAAATCCCTATTTCTGGGTAATAAAATGTATTTGGGAGATGGCTAGAATTGGCTTAGTTTGAAATCTTCTGTTTCTGTTTTTAATAGCATTTAAATCAATACATGTATTGATGTTTAACCCTTTATAGTAAACTTTTTAAAAAATCTAATTTGCATAACAGAAATATTTTGGAAGCTGTCTATTAGAGAGCTGATGGGTCTGTAATAAATAATTTAGTCAGGGTGGGGGGGTTGTTTGTTTGTTGTGTGTGTGTGTGGCTTTCCAGTAGTCTTGCATAGAGATTAGGGAAGAACAATGAAACTTCAGTTCTTCAGCATATTTATTTATTTATTTACTATTTTTAACTTTTAATTAATATTTTAATCTAATTGTAGCTTACTATATCTACCTTTATGGAAAACAATACATTTATAAAGGCTTTCTTTAATCATAGATGCTTTCAAATTTCAGCAGTTAGCTAAATATACAGTACAAGCATGCCCCCTTTTATTGCTGTGTAAATACACAATTAGAATGTATAGATAGTTATGGGTAACTCTTCTGAAATCTTAGTATATATTTTAGCAAAATAAATCAAGACATTCTCATATTACCTGAAAATGAAAAATAGCAGTGGCTGTTGGTCCTCGTTAATATCTAAAGAACCACTATTGGGTGTGGGTGGGGGGAACCCACCTTGACTATTTAGGTTCTAAAGTGTTCAGAAATAAGTGTTTGCACTCTGAAAATATCATTAATAAACTTATAGAATCAACTCACATGCCCACTAATTTGTATTCTAATATGAAATGCTTAATTGGATTTGATTTGTTTCCAGGGAAAAAAATAATTACCCTGATTATGATTTAACATGTTTTCATAATATTAAGTTTCAAACTTAAGATTTTAAATTTGTGTTTATATTTTAATATGTTAAATATTAGTATAAAAACTTGAGGGAAATTTTTTACCAAATAAATTATTTTATGTGGCTTTGGATCATTTTCAAGTTTTGTTCTTAAAAGGGTGGAAATAGGGAAGACATGTTGGAAGAGAGGGACCTAGAAGTAAAGAAAATTTATTTTTTACAATAAAAGTAACCTTGTTTATTAAATGATACAGTTGCTGTCTTTAATGAATTTTGAAAATACAATTAAGGAGTAAAAAGCAAATCCTATTGAAAATATTTTCTAAGCAGGTGACAAGATCAGGACAGCTGCTGCTTATTTAATAGACTTAGGGTGTATCTTGTCAAAGCACATAGTACTGATACTACAAAAAAATAATCGGATAATTTTGCTCCTTGAATGTATTGCTTCCTTCTGTAGATACTTGAAAGTGACCTTCTATTATTAGGTTTTTCCTTATTTTTATCCACCAAATATATTTTCCCTCAAAATGTATGGTATTATGATGACAGCAGAATATTATTCAATATGGTGTAAAATAGCTTATATGCATAATACAGTTACTCCTCACTAACATGTTGATGATGCTACTGATATCTTGGAAAAAACGGGTTAAAACTTTTTAAAGAAAGCAGCACATGGTAAACACTTTAACAGTCCATAGCATATTTTTAGAGCTATCACAGTTAGCATGCACACAATAATTATTTAAATAGTTTTTAAGTTAGTTTTTTTTTCCCCTCCTAATCTTTCTCTCCCTCCTCACCCTTCTGCAAAAATGTTACAGGGAGAATGAAAGCAGAAACATGTTAATCTGATTTGTTTCAGAAGGTTTCTGATAATAAAGAAGCATATCACAGGTGTTCCTAATCAAGTCAGTTAGGCAAAAAAAAAAAAAGAGTATTTTTAAAATTAGGGTTTCCTGTAATGCAGACAAAGTGAGGGTCAATTTGATGACCTACATCTATGTTTGGGGATCGACCATGAAACTCTGGGTGTTGGAAATATGTTATAATACATGACATTTTTATTGCAGGTTTTGACCTTTCAATAGAGAGCTGATTCTGGAGAACAACTTACTTCTGTGATTGAAAAATTCTCTCTGAAAAGCTGATGCAGTATAAGTATGGTATATATTGTATTAACATATCCCTTATTGCATATGGTTTTTTGTTGTTTAAATGTGTGTAGTAATGGAGCTTCTCTGGCTTATTCAAAATGACCCTGTTTTGCTGGGGTAGTTAAAGATTTTTTTTGTTTGTACAAGTTATTCTTCTTTACACTCACTCTGTAAAGTTTTTAAAGACTTTTTTTATTTAGTCTCCATTTCCTTCTGAAGACAGCCTGTGTGTTAAGTGGCCAAAATATGTACAAAAAGCTGAGTTTGCAACAGCCTTGATCATTGGAGTTGCATACATTCTCCATATAGTGTTGTTCTCATAGTCTTATACTGGAAATTGCTCCAACTGAAAGCTGCTGTTCTTGGGGGGGTGGGGGGGAGTATGGATGATATATTGTTTATTTTTAAGTAAATATTCTATTATCAGTAGGGTGTATTAAAGAGAAGAATAGAGAACCAGTTGGGTGCATTTCAATGTACTCTGCAAAATTTATTTTAAAAGATATTAATTGGCCATTTGACAAGTAAAGCAGCAGCATAGAACATGCAAAATTGTCTCTTTTTTTTAAAGGCCACCACCCAGGAAAATATAGTCAGAAATTTAATTTATTTTAGGTGTTTTTTTCAATAAATACACCAATTGTATGGAGTAAAACAATAAATAATTAAATAATATGCATAGAATATACCATACTCATCTCACAAGTCCTTCTTCAGTAAGAATGCTAATTTGGTTGAAAATGAGAAATCCATTCCAAGTAATACAGACCTATCTATTGGCGTATGAATAATCTCAGCTAACTATTAAAATAAATACCTAAAATTTTTAAATATAATTATACTAAGATCAAATAAATTTGTTTAAACACTAAACAGAGAACAGGAATTTTAAGATTCTTATCTTTCATAAAATGTATTGTGGCAACAACTAATTTTATGAACAAACGGTGACATTAGTAAACTCAGAATTCGGTGTGTCTCCAGTTTTTATCTTTCATCAAGATTTACTGCTTTTAAATGTACATATTTTGTATGAAATAATTCTAGCAAGGTAGAAGCTATATATTTTGTAAAACAAAAATTTTAGATGGCCCATATATTTGCTGATAATACCTTTACAAAAATCTACAAATTCATTTATACATAAACTCATCATTTATCCTTGCTCTGTAGCTGAGTTCAGATCTCTGTGAAAGATTGCTAGCTCTTGCCATTACTATACCTTCTGTCATATAGTAACTTGGACAATTTTTTTTCTTGAAAACTGCATAGAAAATATTCCTTTATAGTATTGCAATTTTGTAAGGAACTTGCCTGCTGCACACAATTATCAGGTATGAAATTCAAAACTTTGAGTACACAATATAAAATCTTGATATTATTGGGATACAGGGTAACTTTGATTTTAATAAAACTTAGACCATATCCCTAATTTATTTTGTGGCGAGAAAGAACTACTTTAATTTTTTTTTAAGTAAGAAAAGTAACAATTTTCTTGTGACTTATTTTTTTAAAACATATACATACACACATTACCTTGAAATTAAGCTTGATGTACCATGGTTTTTAATTTTACAAGTTCTTCACAATTTTTTTTGTCTTGGTGTAGATACTGTAACATTATGAATAATTTGACTTTCTGGTTCTGTAAGAATGAGGGCCTTGCATAATGTTTTTGCAGGTTTTGGGGTTTTTTATACTTTCTTCCCCCCCACCCCTGGACAAAAGCTGTTCAATCTTGTTAATGAAAATCAGGAGTATATTGCAAGGCAAAAGTATTAAACTCTCCCAAGTGAAATATTTAAAAGATTGAAAGCTTGATGGAGTATTCCTTGGTCTGGCACAAACTGAGGGTATCTCTAATGCAATATTTTGCTGGAAAATTATAGATTTAAACTATAAATTCCAAGGATTATTGTAAATTTAGGGCCTAATTCTGAATACCCTTAAATACACAAATAGTCCTAATAACTCATTTGTATGAGTAAGGATTTGCAGGATCATGACCTTGGTATTTCCAATCTTTTTTTTTTTTTTCTTTTGTATTTTTTTTCAAAATAATTAATTTCCTCTAATTAATATATTTGTAATCGCAACATTTTTCCTTTTAATAAAATAAATATGTTAAGAACTATCTTGAGGTCAGTAGTTGTCAGCTTTCATTAGAAAAATCACTTTTCAGGTGTTGGTTTGCTCTAAAACTTTTCCTTAGTGAAACTTAAGCATGTCTGTTTTGCCACCCCAAAGTGCATTTGAAATTTTTTTTGAGATTTGTGCTTTTTCTCTCACTTAGGTTCCACTATTGCAATCCTTACTTAAGGAAATCTCATGTGACTGTATTGAAAGCTTAGCATAAATGAGGACTGCAGGGCCATGTAGTTAAAATTTTGGTATGACTTACAAATTGTATACTTTATCTACTTAAATCACTCTGCATTATTGAACAATAATGAGTTTAGAATGGATAAAAATACCTAAGATTTATGCAAGGGTAAAACTCTAGCAAAGTAACTTTTCTTAGGCATTTTTTTATCATTCATACTTTAGGTTTATACACACGACCATACAGATTTTGTTGGGTAAACAATAGTTTTGAGAGCTGACAACACATGCTTATATAATAGATTATAACTGCTCTAAAAGAGCTGTTCCAGATTACTGTGTCAACTCTGTTTTCTTTAAAGGCTTCTTTTGCTTTTCAAAGTTAACTTAAATAATTTCCCTGAAGGAGATATACAGCTATTTAATTTGTGCCTACTCTTTAACAATGCATGTAAAATCATCAACTGTTTGAAAACCCTGTGACATCTTAGTCAAGACGCACTTTAATTTTGGAATCTATAATAACTGAATTTTCTGGTTTCTGTTTAAACTGGGTTGAGCCTTACTACTATTTTAATGTAAACTATTGCATACTAGATGTGTTAATTTTACATCTGACCCACTTTATACTTAATTCTTCCTCCTTTTCTCCTAACACAACATTTTTTAAGAATCAGCACACTGAAAAATAATCATATTTAATGATTCATTAAAAATATTAATTCTTTACATTTAAATCTTTGTTCTTTTACCCAAAAGCTTTTGGAGAGTGGGGAGTGGCTCGCTTGTCAGGTTTTATTTTTACCACAAAACTTAGCAAAAATGCTTCAAAAACAATTTTATGGATTAAGAAGTTCTGTTTTTGTTTTTTGTGATCAGATTTCACTTAAATATCAGCAGAACAGAGTGAATAGTGTATTGATCTACCTTGTTTCAGTTGGATCCCTTGCTTGTCAGTTTTAAAACATATTAGTTTGAAGGTGTGGTTGAAGAGACAGCTGATTGACTACTGTGTTTGAGTAATGTACTATTAATACACACTAACTTTAAGTTTATTTGAAATATTCAGATACTTCAATTATTTTTAAAGAAAGGCAGTTAGTCACGTTAGTCTGAAGTATTTTTGAGTGAATAATGTGAATAACTTATTTTCTGAGGGAATTCTTTTTCAGTCTCTTATTTCTCTAAATGCTTGCTTGCAGTATTTTAAAAGGAAACCATTTCTTTCGTAACTGAATTATTCTCGAATGTCTTAATCTTTGTCTCACTATTTCACACTATTTTAAAGTAAAACAGCTTTTTTTAAAAAATGCTTCAATGCAAGTAAAAAGTGCATATTACTAAACATATTTTACACTATGACTTAAACTCACTAACCTTTAAGAATTTGCTCTTAAGTAAGGTTTGTGAATATTTTTGTTTTTAAAAAAAAAAATTCATTGGCCTTTGTTGTTAATGGTGATTTTGAATTCAGTGAAATTATTGGGTCTAAGTGGCAAGGATTAATGTTGTTAATATCCATGAAAATAATTATAAAACCATAATCATGTTGACTGCTTCAGCTGACTTTTATTTTTCATACTTAAAGGTACCATGTCTAATATATTAAATGTCCCAAATGATGCCATATGTGAGGAAATTTTGTAGCAAATTGAGAAAATCACAGGATTTGACTTGGAGTTGCTCACTAAATCACAAGGGGGGGCAGGGGGGATTGCCCTTTAAATCGGGCAGGTGATGCAGTCTCTAGATTGTTATCGTATGGAGAAGCACAGTTCTCCCAGATGCCCTGCAGTGTAAGATATCCCATATATCTTCCAGGAAAGGGAGCTTTGAAAAGGAGGGTAACCTATTCCTCAAGATGCTTCCTTATAAGACCCTTCATCTCCCCAGCAGAAAACATACACACAAAACATTCAAATTCCTTGTAATGTAATGATGACAGGGTTAGCACTATCATGTACAGACAGATTCCTGATGATCAGAATGGAATTATCTCTTCATGTCCTCCCCCCCACCCCACCCCAATTTACAGAAGGCCTTCAGAAAAAGGGGAAATGATTTTGCTTAGCACATTGCTGTAGCTGCTTTGCTTGCTATTTCTAGACAGTATTTGTAGAGATTTTTACCACAAGTCCATCCAAATAAGGTGTTTTGGCCAGTAGGTGGAGAAAATATTAATTGGAGGTTGTAGTTTTGAGTCACACAGATGTTCTTGAAACAAAGGCCCGCACCAGGATTTCTTGCATTACTTATATATATTTCTCTGGTGTAGATAGCTGGGGTTATTAAATACATTTGGCTTGTTACTTTGATTAGTAAAAATATAGATGTGATTCCAAAATTCGTTTCTCTTTGTTCACATCAGTGGGAGATACAAATATCATTTGAAATACGACTATGGGGAGAGACCTGTTGTGTTTCCTCTTTCTCCCCCCCCCCCCCCCCCCCCAATGCTACAGCCAGGATTAAAATTTAGATCTTAATCTACAACTCAGACTCTTGAATTACCACTCAGAGAATAATTTGTTCTAGAGCATCAGTGGTGGAAGACTGTGTTCCAGCTTTATACTAGTCACTTTCTCTAGGGTCTGATTTCACCTATGGTGTCACAGGTACAATGATTTTGATACTAAAACTTGCTCATCTTTTTCAAATTGATACTTCTACAAATTGTATTTGAGAATTTGATACTAGTGTATGAACAGTTAACATAATAAATACAAATGCCTTGACACGTATACTTTCATTTAAAATCATTCCATTTAGGAAGTAAGTAAATTTTCCCAGTTTTTTGTGTAATATTCAGTTTGTCAAACCCACATGCCAGATTGATGATTCTGGTATGAAGATAGTAACTTAACATGTTGGCTATAATTACATGCATGTGTGCGCACACACAATTTTAGACTGCAGAATAATATAATTTTCTTAGTGATCTGTGTGACCAATTTTCCATTTTGTAGAAAACTACTTAGAACTTGTCACTTATAAATGTATTTTACAGATCTTTCTTATTCAGCACAGCATTTCATCACATTTGAGAGTTTTGCTAACTAGTAAAGGACTTCACCTTTATTCCATAGGAATTTGCTTTTCTCTGGATTCCAGTTCAAAAAGTCTCTACCTGCCCCAGTAGGCATAACTTGCTCAGTGTGGTTAGCTTTGTCTCTGTATTAGACCATTCAAATGTCATCTTAAAGGTATGGATTTTCATGTGGTGAGATGCTAGTACAGATGTATCTAAATGTAGTGGCTTTTATGATTTAAATATGGATAAAAAGCAAAGTATGTTGTGAGCAAACATGTTTTAAATTGGCCTTAGCCTATCAATACCCAAGAAATGACTATTCTTGACCCTTTCTAACTTATTCACACCAGCTGCACTAATAACTAAAAAAAAGAGCAAAATATTGTAAAATTATATAAATTTGCAAGCAAGCGCAGTTATTTTTAAAAACCAAGGCTAGTGAACCAGACATAACATCTTTATAGAAGTACCCATTAATAACTTATTACATAATTAAGTGGAGCTAATATTTTTAGAAAATGTATACAGTAAACACTTTGTGAAAATTTAAGTCATAATAATATAAGCCTTCAGTAAGGTGTTTTGATATTAAAGATTTGAGAGATGGAGAGACTGTCAGGTTATTTTTGTGTATTTTATCTTGCTGTGTAATGAACTGCTTAGTATCGATGATCTGGAACTGCTCGTCAGTGATCTGGAAGATGGTATGGAGTGCACCCTCAACAAGTCTGCAGATGACACCAAGCTGAGGAGAGTAGTAGATATGTTGGAGGGTAGAGTTAAGATTCAGCGAGACTAACAAATTGGAGGATTAGACCAAAAGAAATCACATGATGTTCAATAAGGACAAGTGCAAAGTCCTGCACTTAGAATGGAACAATCCCACAGACTGCTACAAGATTGGGACCGACTGGCTAAGCAGTACCTCTGCAAAAAAGTACCTGGGGTAGACAGTAAGCTGAATATGAGCCGACATGTGCCCATATTGCAAAGAAGGCTAACAGCATACTGGGTTACATTTGTAGGAGCATTGCCAGAATATCAGGGGAAGTGTTTCTTCCCCTCTATTTAGCACAGGTGAGGCCACATCTGGAGTACTGTGTCTAGTGTTCAGTCCCCCACCACAGAAAAGATGTGGACAAATTGGAGAGAGTCCAGCGGAGGGTAGCAAAAATAGTGAGGGGGCTAGGGGACATGACTTACGAGGAGAGGCTGAGGGAGCTGGGCTTATTTAGTCCAGAGAAAAGGAGACTGAGCGGGGATTTAATAGTAGCCTTCAACTACCTGAAGGGTGGTTTCAAAGAGGATGGAGCTAACCTGTTCTCAGTGGTGGCAGATGACGGAACAAAAAGCAGTAGTCTCAAGTTGCAGCAAAGAAAGTTTAGGTTACATATTTGTGGGGGGGGAATTTTCACTGGGAGGGTAGTAAAGCACTGAAACAAGCTACCCAGAGAGGTTGTGAAATCTCCATACTTAAGAGTTTTTAAGACCCAGCTAGACAAAGCCTTAGCTGGGATGATCTAGTTGGGGATGGGCCTGCTTTGAGCAGGGGGGTTGGACTAAGATTCACACAGATTCACAGAAGTTTAGGGCTTGAAGGGATCTCATGAGATCATTGGGTCCAGCCCCCCTGCTCTGAGTAGGAAAGACTGCTGGGGTGAAATAACTTATCTGAACAAGAAGAAGCACCGGTGCTTTCTGCAGCAAAAAACTCTTTGGATAATCTGCAGGCTGACAGCTCAAAAGTTGCTTCTTCTGACAGATGCCACATGGTTTCCTGAGCTTCTTCCTGGTGTCCCTTCTAACCCTAATTTTCTATTATCTTGCTTAGGGACTCTAGAACAGCGCTTCGCAAATAATGTGTTCTGGAGAATAGCTCTCCCCGTGTCTCTAGAACCCTGTGAAATATCCAAGGTCACTTTGTCATTTTCTGCAGGTCTGATCACCAGCTCCTGATAAATGAGACTACCTATATGTAGTCTAATAGTCACATTGCACCAGACATCTTAACCAATATTGGAGCTTCAGAATGGAAATTAGGTCATCGCACAAAATAACATCCAACAATAACCGACTTTCATGAAACGACAAAAAATGAAAGCAGAAATGTTAACTTGTTAATGTGCCATATGCTCTTTTAGCTTTTCTTTTTCATTTATGTGTTGTTTAGTTTATTCAAAAGTATGTGTAGGTTTTCTGCTTCTAGGGAGTTATTTTTTAATATCTTGCAGTGTTTTTAGTGATCTCTGAATTTTTTGCTTTGTTTCCTCCTCCTGTGTAAATTGGTAGTGTAGGCCCTTGCAAATGCTTTTGCTTTCATGCGTGTAAATATTCCAGCTGGACTACTCTCATATCTAAAAGTGAGCACATCTTCAAGTGTTGATAGAGTTTGGAGACTTACTCAATTGCCAGAAGACAGGTGAGAAGCTACCAGTGGGAGAACTAGTATTTTCATACCGCTTCAGTTAAAATAACACCACTCCTTCCTTTTGTTACCAGTTTGATTCCTGTCCTGGCATTATACAGTCAGATATGGATGGTTCTATTAATATATCTTGAGTATATCTTTAGGGTTTTATCTGTTGAATATTTGTGAGAAATATTGAAGGTCCAAGAATAAATTGCAGTAATGCTCTACAGACCAATATTACACTATTATTCTGTTCTGTCTGTAAACAGGTACATTCATTTGGCACTCTGAAGAAGAGATTATTTTGGCAGTATCTTCCCACCCCTTGACAAAAAGATGATACATCTGACTCAGAACTGGAAAGGGAAATCTGCCAGTTTACGTCAACTCCTAACTTGTGGGCTTCTGTTCACCACAAGGACAATTGGGTGAACAGAAATTACTTTGCCAGTAATTCTTGGAAGATGAGGAAGAAGAGTCATCTCCAAAAAGACATGTGGTGCCTCACACTGTAGGCCTGGGCCTTCTGTATTTATAGGAAAAACATAGTATAATGTAAGGTGTTCTTACACTTAATTTAATTCAGAAACCAGCAACTAAGATTGTTCCTGAATCTAAAGTTTAAAATGGGGAGGAGCCACCTTGAGATTTGTGATGCAGAATAAGATCAAAAGAATATGCTTCCATTCAAAAATGCAAGAAATCTATTTTGAAGGTAATAAGGTAAGTTCTTTGAATTTTCCAAACTTACCTGAATCTTTTTGTCTGTGTTCCAACTGAGTTAATCTTTTCATTCCTAGTCTGACTCAAAATGGGCTTCCTGCTATTAACTTGGGGGCAGAATTATCTGTTTTTGAAAATTTGTCTTTTTTTTCCAAGTCTTGTTTAATAAATGATGACATTTTGAACTGTTAGAGTAAATTACTAATAGAATCAGTTTACCTCTACAGTACCCTTGAGGTCGGTAAATACTATTCTCATTTTGCACATGTGAAAGTGATTCTCTCCTTTCCCTCGTACATACACCCTTTCTGATGCGTGAAACATGATATACAATTCAGTTGAGTCAGAGAACCACTTTGTATAGCTTAGGAGTAAGGAAGCTCCTCCAAGAAGAAAACTGCTATTTGCTTAATAGAGTATTTACTCAAATATGGTATTAAGCAAATAGATGACTGACTTATAAGACGACCCCCCGCCCCAATAATTAGAGTCTATATATGGAAAATGTATACATTTGTAATGATTTTCCAGGTATAGTGTCTTAATTATTAGAGGTTTGCCTTGAATTTGTCCCTTTCCCTGCTACAACAGAGAGAAGAAATATGGGGGATCAGGTAGCCGTTTGCTCTGTGCTTGCATCCACCTTTTTCCTTGGTAGCCCTTTCTCCTCCTTACTGTCAGACCCTGCTGTCCCAGAGCTTGTGGAAGTGCGGAACAACTTTGAAAACAATAACCTTGAAATTTAAACAGAGCTATAGCAATTTTCATATAGCACCTATGCACTTGGCTCATCCAGAATTGATGCATGTAACCTTTTTTTGAAACTGCTGGAAGTTTTGGCAAAAGTTTCACAAACACAGTTTTGAGCAACACTACTTATATCTAGCATTAACTATGCATGGTATTAGTCCAAAGCCCAAACAGTTTATGATTTATCTTAGTTCATTGAGCTGGGCCCTATGGCATTGCATACAGTTCACCCAGAATCCCTCAGTTGTGCCCTCTCTGTCTGGCACATAAGATTAGGGTGGCCCTGCCCTCCATGGTTATCCCATAGCTCAGTACTGCTCAGTATGCGTATATACTCCAGATAGACCTTCTTCCCCTCCCCGCCACACATCCACAAAGGGCCCATGTGCTAATTACCCTTCACTTATGACAAGAACACTTGGTTCCAGTCATAAGTCATGGGATGCTTCAAAAATTGATGTGCAGATAAGGCACAGGGCAACCTAGTCTGGCTTCGCCATGTGGAGGGTGGACCACATTAATCATATATAATGCCCCAGGCTGAGAGGGTGCAACAGAGGGATTCTGAGTGAACTGTATGCAGTTGGTTGTAGCTCACCATGACTTGGAAAAAGTGCCAACAGTGAGGTGGATTGCACTTAATGGGCAGTAGCATGTGTCTTATTCAGATGAGCTGCACTAACCTATCTTTGTGGTATCCATCAAGATCAAATGTAGGGGTGTCAAAGCTGGCCCTTCCAGTGCTGACCTGGTACTGCAGTATCTCCAGCCCAGTGCCATTTTCCTATGGAGCCAATTGTGGGGTGGGGGACACACTGTCATCTCTTTGAATAAATACAGTAGATGATTAGCATGGATAGCTAACTTCTTTCTTTAAAAGAAAAAAAGGTATATCAACTCTTAATAGTCAAAACAGGAAAAGTATAATGGCCTTCCTGTATTCTTAGGTTTGTAGATGCTTACTAAATGTTTGGCAGAGTTGGGACTAGAATGGGACTAAATTTCTATTCTCCTGCTTTAGGTATTAAACTGTATTTCTTTTCTTTGATATATCAACTCTTTATGGTATTTTGATTAATTGTTAAAGGTTTCATTTTAAGCCTGTTATTAAATACCTGGTCTAATGTGGAATAGCAGGAAATGTTTGGTATCTCTGTTCTTTGCAATGCATAGGGATGATAAATTCTTTTCTGTTGACAAAACTAAAAAAAAAATTTGGATTCCACCTAGGTCACTCTAGACTAGAGATTCAAAGGTGACCTTTACATACTGGATTAGCAACCAATATTGGCTGCCTTGGAAAATTGTAGGAGTATTGGGTAGCAGCTTCTCAAACGGAGCCTGTGAAAAAATCCTCATGTCTTACGCACACTTTAGAATCTAATATCCTGCCCACAGATGTTCAACTACAAAATAAAAAAAGGCTTTGAAGCCAGTAGTAGTTCAGCTAAGCTGTTTTCTCTGTGTATTCACAGCTACCACTGAATGGAAATCCAAGTGAATGTAATTAAGAATCGTCTTCCTAAAGAACATCTGAAACTTTAGGATGTTCTAATTAATTTGTGCTTAAATGACAAATTAAGAGCGCCAAGTACAATACATTCCCAAGAACAGCAAAAATGACAATTATTGTTCCTCTGTTGTGGTCTAGTGAGCTTCCGTACCCATGTCCTGGTTTGCTAAATATTTAGGTACAAATAATGTCTGGCCTTACCATGTTTCAGGCACTTACTAAAAAGGAAGTAATTGGTGTGATTTCATTGGGTCATAAAAGAAAAAAATAACACTATTTATCTCTGATCTGGATGGCTGGGTCCAAAAAGGCCATCTTCTTTTAGAACATAGAAGAAATGCATTGGACTAGAGTCTGACAAATTAATGAAACACAGACTGGCTGGTTTTGCTTGGACTCTTATGTCATTGTACTAATACCCTGGTCCTAGAATCTCTAAAAGCCACACCCAAAAAAAGACTTGGCTCTTGGGCTTGATTCAATGTTCTTTGCTAAAGACCAATTTTATTTCATCTTAGTTGTTTTATAGAAGGACTATAAATATCAAGTTCGTTCACTTGCATAGCATTTTGGGGGTAGGGAGGAAGAATATTCTGAAAGTCTGCTTTGCTTTTTTAGAATTTTGATCGGATTCCAATTAAGTGCCAAATTAAAAGACCAAGTCAGATTTGACCCTTGCTGAGTTATATTCCCAGTTCCTTTGTAGGCCACATCCAGATGAGCGTGGATGTTTGATTCCCCCACAGACAAGTAGCAGTGCTGCTGCTACTTGTGCCACACGCTCTGGCGCATGGCGGTTTACCCTGGGTGGGATAGGGGAGACTGGGGCCAGTAGCTTTACTTGGGGTCCTAGGGGCCAGGGAAGCTACAGCTGCAGCACTCCTGCAGCTAGAAACCTGGACAGCAGCTGGAGCATGGCTCCACTGACCAGACTACTGCCACATGTCACCCTGCTTTTTTTCCCCACAATTTTTTTTTGACCCCAGGATTTCCTGGGGTCAAACTCCCCCTGCCCCTGCACACTGCAAAGTAGCAGGATGGAGAATACCTAAATGCACGGTGTGTTGCATGACAGAAGGGTCTGTGGTGTCACATACTGCACAACCACACTCATTTGCATGTGGCCATAGTGTGGTTGTGTCCATTGGGTGCTAGAAAAAGTCAGATGTTGCTCAAGTGAGTTTTACTGGGAAAAGAAGAGTTTTCACTTAAGGTTTTATATATTACAGAAATAGGTAATATGAAATGCTTTGACTAATGAAGAAACCATTTTCAGTAAAAACAGCCAGGTGGGCAAACAAGTCAGTACTGTGGATGTGTTCTGTTGATCATTTGAGCTGGTATATATTGCCACCCACTAGGTGGAAAAGAAGAAAAGCTTGAAAATTCTCTGCAGCAGGGGCGGGCAATTATTTCTAGTGGAGGGCCACTTACTGAGTTTTGGCAAGCCATCGAGGGCCTCATGACAGGCAGCCAGGACAGATAAATATTAATTCTCTAACCTTTTTAAGGGTCCCGCGGGCCAGATAGAATGGCCTGACGGGACGCATTTTGCCCACCCCTGCTCTACAGTCTTCATTTCTACCAAATCATGTTTTTTCAGACAATGAAAACTAAAAGCTTGTACCCAAACTGTTTACTTTTCCCCTTATTCCTCAGGGAAAGTTCCACATACTTGGAAGTTTTGCCTCTTTATCCTGTAGCCAGAGGGGAATCTTTTGGCAAAATAGCATGTGAATCAGCAAATCATTTCTAGGATCCATGCATGGTTTTAGAAAAACTTTCAGAAAACATTGTTTGGTTTGGTTTTTTCTTAACAGCCTTTTCTAGTTTTCAAAGAAAAGAAAAAAGGCCTAGAAACTTAGTTCCTTTAAGAGGAACATTATTTCCGCTAGAACAGGGGTTAGCAATCTATAGCCCGTCACCTGGAATGACCCTGAGCTGGGATCATTTCAGCCTGCAACCTGAAAAGATTGCCGATGACACATCTAGAACGGTCATTTTATGCTAGCTTAGGTATTTATATATGGCCGGGAGGGCGGGGGGGGGAGTCCTTCAAAATAGGGTATAGAAACCTAGCGTTGGGCAACTTTATGGAATTTGTAAAGTGGCTTATTTCTTTTGATCCTGGAATTTAATTTTGTATGCATGCTTTCGAACAGAGAAAATCGGTATAGATAACAAGTGTTCACATGCAGGTTTCTGCCTTATTGCATACCTAAGATACAGTGTACTCATAGGCCTCTAGAAAAGGATCTTGTAAGCCTTAACTTCAAAACCAGAGAACCTTGATTTGTTGTTGTTGTTGTTCCATGCACAAGCTTTGTTAATACCCAGATCTTGTTGCACCTTGTAATTTCTTTCTGACCTAGAAATCATGTTGATACTTCAACTGATTGCAGACCATTTCCTTGAAGAGAGAGAGAAACAAAGATGTTAAGCATATCTAAGATAATACTGTATCAGTGTCCTAAAAGAGAGAAGTTATTTAATTTTGTTTCACTAGATTCAAAATCCGAGCAGGCAACCTTAGTTTAAAGATTACAGTTAAAAAATGTTTAAATATATGGAAATACAGTATTAAGCTATTCCAACCAATTTCAGCATGCCTACATAATGACACTTTGATTCATAAAACGACCTTCCAACCCATGTGCCTTTTATCTTCTGTATGACAATGACTAGTCTTGAGGGTTTTCATGTACTCAAATGAGCATTAGGCATCCACAGTATGCACTGCATACATCAGATTAGTTCAGTACTTTTTTTCTATGACACCAGCTACACAAACATCTAAGACAGTGGTTTTCAACCTCCCCCCCCATTTGTAGACTCCTTCAGAAATTTAGGAAGTGCCTTCAAAAGCCCCTGGAAAACTTTATATTTAAGACCGTCTTTTAATCATGTCTTGAATAGTTACCCATCCACGTGTTCAGGCAATTAATGGTGCCACAAAAAGGAAATCCAGCCACAAAAATATTGCATAAGAAGTGTGTAATATTTTTGTGGCTAGTTTTTGTTGCACCTTAAATCAAACGTGTGGCAGGGTTAGGACTGCACCAAGGTCTCTAACTGGCTCAGGCGTGATCCCTACCAGCCAATAATTAGCTGATCACCATCTGGATCTGGGAACCACACCTTGGCTAGTTAAAGCCCCAGTGCCATCCAAGAGCCAACTAACAATCAGCTGATTGGCTGCTATCTGACTTCCAACTTGCCAGTGCAGGGGAAGCCTGGGATCATGACCCCAGTGCAGTCCTGACCCTAACATGGTTTCTCCCTGCACTGGCAAGTAGGGCATGGTTGGGATCTAATCCCAAAATTGCACATTGTGCTGCACACACGTGGTATGGCAGGAAGCATGATAGTTGGGATTATGGATCAAATCCCATTGTGCTTTTAAATAAACATCTGTCAGTAGGCTAAGACCACTTGCTTCCTGCATATGTGACACAGATTTTAAATACTGTGCACCATTCCAATAAAGACTTGAAATCAGATGACCAAGGTGTATCTACCCCTGCATTGTGGCAGCGTAACTAACTCCATGGTAGGATAGTACTTGTGTGGCAGTATTATCCTACAGTGGAGTTGATTAGTTTACTCCATCCTAATGGCTCTACGTGTGTAGATGGTGGTGTTCTACTGCAGAGCTGATTAGTCAGCTCCTCCATCTTTTGTAGATGGGCCTCCAGATAACCTTCATTCCAACCAATCTGCAAATATTGGCTTTTGCTCAAGAGTGTAACTCGCCTCCTCCCTCACCTCCCCAGGCCAGATGGACAGTGCCCCATCTGCCCATGTGCTGGATCCAGCCAATGCTTGTCATCCAGTGCCTGGGGCAGGTATGTTGGGCACCATTCAACCATGCAGAGGGGGGCAGGGGGTAGCCTGGCCCCATTGAAGGGGAAAGGGGTATGGCTTAACTCCACGTAGGGGTAGGAGGCGTGGCCTGGCTCCAACCTGGCTGGGTGGTTGTGGGGGACCCAAGCAGCATGGCCTGGCCCTGCAGGGGAGGGGATGGAGTCTGGCTCCAACAGGCTGTGTGGGGCTTGGGGTTTGGGAATTTGACAGGGTATGGAATGTGGCTGTATTAAGGGCCACTGCTTCCCTGCTGCCAAATTTTCCTGACCCATGGGAAGACCTGCAGACTGAATTCTAAGGCTTCACAGGCTGCAGGTTGAGCACCTCTGGTGCAACTCATTCAGTAAATTGTACAAGGCACATTAATGTCAGAAGTATATGGTTACCTCAAACCAAATTGTTAATTGGGTTTAATTTAAGCCACATTTAAACATAGGCTAAGAAAAGTCCTTGGAGATAGGGGAGAACTTTTATTGGATGAAAAAAGCTTGATTTTTAAATAGTAGTGAAAAAAAAATTAAATTTATCTAGTATACAGTGATTGTGCATTTCCAAATGTTCAGGCACTTTTTAAACATAGAATTACTGAGTTCTACCATATGGCTTTATGTAACACTACTTCTTTTTACTCTTAATTTAGGTGGCTCTCCAGTTGATCAACAGACCATGAGCAAGTGTTCTGTAGAAGCAGGCTGTGGCTGTTTCACCTCCGTATTTTCGGTAACTAAATTGCAGTGATAGAAACTAAAAGTAGGCACCTTATTAGAATCCTAGAAAGTTAAGGTTGGAAGGAGCCTCAGGAGATCACCTAGTCCAACCCCCTGCTCAAAGCAGGATCATCACAGCCAAAACTTCATCTAGTCAGGGTTTGAAAACCTCCAAGGATGGAGCTTCCACCACCTCTCTGGGTAACCTGTTCTAGTGTTTTACTACCCTCCTAGTGAGAAAATTCGTCCTAATATCTAACCTAAGCTTCCCTTGCAACAAGTTGAGACTTGCTCCTTTTTCCATCATCTGCCACCACTGAGAACAGTTTAGCTCCATCCTCTTTGGAACCACCCTTCAGGTAGTTGAAGGCTGCTATTAAATCCCCGCTCAGTCTCCTCTAGACTAAATCAGCCGAGGTTTCCTTGGTCTTTCCTCATCAGTCATGTCCCCCAGCCCCCTCATCATTTTGTTGCCCTCTGCTGGACTCCGTTTTGTCTACATCCTTTCTGTGGTGGGGGCCCAAAACTGAATACAGCAGTCCAGATGTGGCCTCACCAGTACAGAATAGAGGGGAATAATCACTTCCCTTGATCTGCTGGGAACACTCCTACCAGTGCAGCCCAGGATGCCATTAGCCACCTTGGCAACAAGGGCACACTGCTGGCTCATTCAGCTTACTATAACCCCCAGGTCCTTTTCTGCAGAGCTGCTGTCCAACTAGTCAACCCCCAGCCTGTACTGGTGCATGGGATTGTTCTGTCCTAAGTGCAGGACTTTGCACTTATCCTGGTTGAACCTTGTGAGATTGCTTTTGGCCCAATCCTCTGATTTGTCTGGGTCACTCTGAATCCTAGCCCTACCCTCCAGCATATCTACTACTCCCCCCAGCTTGGTGTCATCTGCAGACTTGCTGAGGGTGCGCTCTGCCATCTTCCAGGTTGTTAATAAAGACATTGAACAGAACTGGCCCCAGGACTGTCCCCTTGGGCCCTCCCCTTGATACTGGCTGCCCCCTAAATATCGAGCCATTGATTACTACTCTCTGAGCCCAATGCTCCAGCCAGTTTTCTATCCACTTGACACCCAGCCCAGTCCATTCATCCAGCCCATACTTCCTTAGCTTGCCTGTGAGAATGTGAGAGACTGTATCGGAAGCCTCACTAAAATCAAGTTACACCCCATCCACCGGTCTCTCCACATCCACAGAGCCAGTCAACTCATAGAAAGCTATCAGGTTGGTCAGGCATGGCTTGGCCCTGGTGAATCCATGCTGACTGTTCCTAATCAACTTTTTCTCCTCCAAGTGTTTAGAAATGGATTCCTTGAGGATCTGCTCCATTCATAAGTCTTCCTTATGAACTGTTGCTAGAGCTTCCCCAGTCTGGTGTTTCCATGTCTGGAAGAGGAAGTGGTCTGTGTGATTATGAAGAGAAATTTTCATGGGCCACCTATTTTTCTTAAAGAGGGTGGGTCTATGTTTTGACAAAATTTGAAGTACACTGACTTACTGATGATAAACTAAACCTTAATTCCATCCTAAAAATTAGTTACATCAATGCAGACACCCACACTACATAGAGAAAATCACCCAAATTGCTAATTTGGTTTATTTTGAGATGAGTTTTAGCAATAGATTTGGAGGTAGGGGAGAACTTAGATTGGATGAAAAAGTTTGCTCTTGAATATTGTGCCTGTTTAAATTGAAGAGGTTGGACTAATTTACATATGGACTGTAATAGTCTATTAGCCTCCTATGAAAATTGCTCTGTAAGAGATGCATTTTAGAGTATTTTACAACTGTTGTCACAAGGATAAATTAAAGATCTTACTCAGTTTTCTCATATTAATTAGAAGTCAGTATTCTTACTTTTTTTTCTGTCTAGCATGGCTGTGGTTCAGTTTCTGTTAAGTTTGGTGAATGAACTGAATGTGGTAACTTAAGCCTGAGCTGTAGAGCAGTATATCATTGCTATAATGGTGACAGGTTACTTTTAAATTATATAATTCCTTAACTTTTTTAATTCTTCCTTAGTGGAATCTCTCATTTTTGTATATGCATAATACTTTAAGTTCATAAAATTTAAGCTGCAAATATCCTTAAGAACTGGATCTGCCTCCCCCCCCCTTTTTTTCCCCCCCCCCCCCCTTAATTAACACCCACTTCAGGGTAGCTTTTAAGTAACACTGAGATCAAGTTTAACCCCTACCTTTGTTTTGAGAAGGAACAGACATTATAAATCCAACAAAAAAGGCTTGTAATATGTGCATTAATAATGCAGCACTGTCCTAGTCCACTAGCACATGACAGAGAAACTAGGTGTTAAACAAAAACCCAAAAGTGAAACTTCTGTTTCAGTTGTCTGAGCTGATGGGAAACGAGCATCAAAGTTAACAGCATGTATTCCTACAGATTCTGTATGATCCTGTTTACTCCTTTTGTATTGAAAGGGAATGGCCCAAATAATGGAATACTGGCATGTGCAAAAGGAGTATAATAGCATCAATATACAAAGCATAAGAGTGCCCAAAGAGCAAAAAACAATGTTGATACACGAACAATCATCACGAGGAAAATACTGCATCTAACTAAATGCATTGTTGGTACTAGCCAGAAAAAAAATATTAAATTTTTAGACACCTGGGCAAATAAGCATTCCTGAATGAAAATTGATTGTAAGGCCTACACTGTAAAGGTTTTCTAGTTTAACTCTAAGCATTCAGATTATTACATATAATCAGTCCAGTGATTATACTTAAATTCTCCTAGTGTAGAGTATGTGCATGTGTGTGCACTTACCACAGTAACCCTTCTTATGGTTTTGCCAGTTTTCCAAGCAGTACAAGTATTTTCATGCCAATATACATGGATTTTCAGTTACTGAGGCTTTTACCAGCATAACTGCTTTGGGATAAATATTGCATTCCCTAATCAACCTAGTGATATCAGCAAAAGTTTAATGTAAATCTAATGCCCTCTAAGTGAATCTACACATGTGCATTACTGCAGTTGACTAATTAGCTCCATAGTAAAATGTCATAGTCTACGTATGCACTGGTGTTAGGGTGCAGTAAACTAATTTATTCTGCCATAGGATAGTATTTCTGGGGACAGTACTTAACTCCGCTGAAACGCATGTGTAGATGGTGACCAGGCAGGGGTCCAGACTCCTGGCTGTCACCTAGCCACACGGCTCCACACATTTGTCACCCTTGTGCCCCAGCCAACCCCTCCGCTGCTCAGTGCCACCACTTGGAGCCCAGGGCTGACCCCTGGAGCCTACTGCCAGCTCAGGCATGCTCCACCCCAGCTCAAACTGCTGCTGTTCCAGGTGCACATGTAGATGCTGCTCCAGGGAGAAGTTCAGTCTGGGAGAAGTGCTCTGGAGTTTTTAATTGTATGTGTAGATGCACCTTCTTAAGGCTAAATGGGCCCAAAAAAAACAAAACCCAACCTTTTTCTGTAAATAGAAAAAAAAAGCTCTCTACGCATGGATCAGTCCATCACAAGTTACCTCTGAGGTTCAGTGCAATGAATTGAAGGACTTGGGTTAGGTATACATTAGAAACCTTTGACAATATGCTAATACTGTTCATGGGTTTTGTGTGTGTGCAGGCGTGTGAGTAATTAATATATATACACACACAATAAATATACTACAAAAAGTCTTATGGTCTACATTTAAAAATGTTTCTGTCAATGTATTTTCTTTGGGAAACCAGTGTAAGTGGTGCCTGTGCCAAACAGGTTTGCCAGTATATCTATAATAAACCTTTTCTAGTATAAACCAGGCTGGGGTGAGAGTCTGAATTCTAATTTGACTTGAGCTGCCGCTATCCTTTTTCTTTTTATGCCCCTCCCATCTCCGAATATCTTGTATGAATGGTAATATAATAACAACATCAAAGATCTCCATTCAAGGGAAAGCTAGAATGGAGAATACATGTGTTCTGTTTTCTTTAAATTCTTCTAATGCCAAAACTAACTGACGTTTGTACACTGGAAATTGTAATTTGGTGCCTCTATGCAGAGGAGAACTATTTACAGCTTTCAGGTAGACAAGCTTCTGAAATTTGAACCATAAAGCTCATGTGCTAACTTCACAGAAAGGTCTAAAAATGACCCCCACTGTAAATAATACACCACATATGTTCAAATGAGACATCTAATAAAGAATTTGCATTCTTGTATTAAAATAGCTAATGTTATTAATTTAGAACTAATATTTAACTTTAAAAGAAAATACAGAGTTTGCCTTGCAACTAATGTCTTTCTTCCCTTGATGTTTAGTAGATACCTTGGCCTAACGTAGCAGCACATAATGGTTTGTGGATTTTGAAAAGGTGCAGGCCATATTGTGCTGCCTCAAAAATACAAGGGTTTCATCTTCCTGAAGTGAAATGTCATTTATGAATTAGACTCATGATCATGATGTCAATCGTACCTTAGCAGCACGTAAATATTGGTGTTAAGATTCTGTAAATATCTCCAGTATTAACTGTGCTGCTGAAGTAAGTTTGGCCTGTCTGCAAATGAGTCATAGGGAAGGGGAGTACATTGATCTTTCTGACTTCTCGGAGCGGTCTTTATTCATGCTCTCAGTTCATGAACTCTACTCTTATACCTTTTTTTATTCTGTTTAGATTGTTCATTATTACCAGTTTTTAGCACCACATCGTACCAAATAGTAAATCTAAAACGTCTATCTTTTTTAGTTTGTTTGTTTTCTCTGTATGACTGCTGAATTTAAAAGAATAGTCACAAAGGGAGGAAGGAGGACCCAGGAAACTATAGGCCAGTTAGTCGTACCTCGATCCTGGGTAAGCTTTTTGAGAGAATTATCCTCGCGCATGTCCACGAGGGGCCAGCAGGGGAGATTATGCTTAGGGGCAATCAACACGGGTTCATTTAGAGGTAGGTCCTGTCAGACCAACCTGGTGGCCTTCTATGACCAGGTTACAAAATGCTTGTATGCAGGGGGTAGCAGTGGACATAGTCTTTCTGGACTTCAGGAAGGCCTTCGACACTGTCTCTCACCCCGTTCTCATTAAAAAATCTAGGGGACTGTGGCATCGACACCTACACAGTCAAATGGGTCAGTAACTGGCTGGTGGACCGCACCCATAGAGTGGTGGTGGATGGGTCTTATTTGACCTGGAGGGATGTGGGCAGTGGGGTTCCTCAGGGCTCGGTCCTCGGGCCTGCACTGTTCAACATCTTCATCAGCGACTTGGACGAGGGGGGTAAAAAGCACCCTGTTCAAATTCGCAGACAACACTAAGTTGTGGGGAGAAGTGGGCACGCTAGAAGGGAGGAATAGGCTGCAATCGGACCTAGACAGGTTACAGGGGTGGGTGGATGAAAACAGGATGGGTTTCAATACTGACAAGTGCAAGGTACTGCACCTGGGGAGGAAGAACCAGCAGCATACCTACAGGCTGGGGAATTCCCTTCTCGTCAGTGCGGAGGCAGAAAAGGATCTTGGTGCCATTGTTGATTCCAAAATGAACATGGGCCGACAGTATGGGGACAGGGTCAGGAAGGCCAA